GATTAATTTCTACTTTGTTGATCAGTTTCTGATTTAGAATTTCCGTCTGTAGTAGACTTTCTGCAGGGTTTAGAAACCCTGCTTGAAACAAGCCTGTAGCTCATCATTCATTAGAATTACTCTAAGTCTAAATTAGCCACACTGCATCGTTTCTGTACCTCCATCCTTCTCGGTCACATTTATTCTTCCACTGTTTCCCTTCCGGCGCATTATGAATGAATTTCTTTGCTGTAAAGCTGCCTCAATTTGGATACCATTGGGAAAATGATAAAATTTCCTGTGCACCTCATACGTTTTAACTTTCTAGCACAAATCTGTAGTACTTGTGTGGAGTGATAGATGAGACAAAGTGTCCATTGTTCTCCCTCTTTTCTCCATTTCTCTATCGGTACATAATATCCCCCTGAAATAAACTTGTGCGAGGCGTTGCAGTAGGTTTCTAAAAAAATCAGTCTGAAATGACCGTGCCACCACTCATTATCCTAAAGAACATGTTGCCAGTCAAGGTAACACCGCTTTGAAAATTGACAGCTTTCCGAGTCCAGCAAATAGTTGCTGGATGCTCAGCCTAATACGTCTGTTTGATGTCCAGCGTAACAGTTGGCTAACATTCACGTCACTGCCTCTCTGCTTCTAACGTATTTCAAACAAAACAGTGTCTTGCGCTGCGATACGCATTTATTTTTATGCAAAAAGTTGAAAGCTAAAATAGCACTGGCTGACAAGGACGGAACCCCCCTCATCTGCTTTCCTTCCTCACCGATTTATTCGGCTTCTGCAAGCTGTACAAGTTTTACGAACCGTATGGCTTCATCGTTTTATTAAACTCTATTTTATGTATGAAACAGTTGATCTTCCACTAAGTGGCGTTATGGTTATCCAGAATGGAGGATACTGAATAGCTCTACACGTGGTGAAGTTACACCTTGAGCAGCTCAAAAACGCAGCACTGGCACTTCGAGCACTCACGCTTGTTTTGCTGCTGAAAATAGCTATCATTCTCATTAAGCGTATTTTGACCGAAGCCTGCTTCTGTAGCACTAACAACAAACATTACACAGATAGTTTTTTTCCTGTGACATCTCAAGAAACATTCGTTGTTTTCTAAAAAAATTTTTTTGTATTGTCTGAACCTCTAATCCGTTGAAAATCCCTCTGCTTTGGAGTATTTAATGCACGTAATTCCTCTGTTCTCTGAACTTTCATTTCCCCATATTTAATGCGAAGCCTGTTCGAAAGTAGAAAAACCAACACTGGCTTCTACGTGGAGTGGTACAGCAAAGGATGCTTGGAGGATTTCCGTCCGTGGCCAGATAAGTGGCATGCTGGATATAGTTGCGACTACGCGAGAAAATAAATGACCATTTGGACAGCTTCGGGAAAATGATTCACACATGTCGAACAGGCGATAGTACTTATCGGAACATGTATGCAGCTCTGGGTCGAAAGGACTGGGATATCTGTGCCGGACGTATACGCGTAGCCCAGCAAAAGCACTAGCATGATACCCTTGCAGTAATTACCCGGACAATCTTGATATTCTTGTGTATTCTCCAGAAATAATGTTGACATGAATTCTTTCGTTCTAAGAATTTTCCCAGATTTTAAATTTTCGTTTTTGTTATCTTTTGCATTGAATAATTAATTATTCCGGTCCAGTGAGGAGACGATTTTTTTTTTAGACCGATATGTGACACTTCGGCTGGAAACTTACCATCTTCGCTCCCATTTTTCAA